AAAGAACAGGCTTTGCATCCTCTTAAAGCCAACTGCTTTAACAGACATGGCACATGAGAGAGTCTACGCCACTCTGGACAATTTATAATGAATGCTATTAAGCACATCCCTACAGAAAACAATGACGATGACCAGAGAAAATGTTATGTTACATTAAGGAGAAAATAATATCTTCTTTTTTTAAATTCCACGTGTTTTTTAAACAGGTCATTTTCCCAAATAATATACCCTGATTATGGTTTCCTCTCCTTCTACTTCTCCCAGTTCCTTCCCACCTCCCCTCCCATCCAGGTCCAATTCCTTTCTGTCTCTCATTAGAAATCAGGCTTCTAAAGGATAGAATAAAATATAAGGAGATAAAACAAAAGCTATGTATCACATCTGAGTTGGACAAGTCAAACAGAAGAGCTCCAAAGAAGACACAAGAGAGGCCCATTTGTTCACACACTTAGGAATCCCATAGGACCACTGAAGTGTAAACTCATGATATATATGCAGAGGACATGGTGCAGACCTGTACAGGCTGTCTGCATGCTACCTCAGTTTCTGTGAGTTCATTTGAGCCTGGCTTGCTCATGTTGATTTAGAGGGCCTCATTTTCTCGGTGTCCTCCTTCCCCTCTGGCTGTTAGACTCTTTCTGCTCTTCTTCCATTCTTCTAGGGGGCTCTACGAGCCCTGAGGGGAAGGGTTTATATCTGTCCTTTTAATAAGTGCAATAACCATTGAGGGTTTTTTTTTTCTGTCAACCCTCTAAGCCCATGAGAACCTTAGATGTGAAAACATGACATACTCATCTCTCAGACTTTCAATTAAAGTGAACCATAATTTTTGTTTTCATTTCCTCAGATGAGGGGATAAGATAAGAGCAGTACCCAAGTTTCACAAATACATGGTTTGGGCTGGGCCCAGAGCATTTCTATCTAACTAACCCTAGGCCTAGGCCTGGAAGATTAGAGCCTCCATATAGGCTAATCTTCTCTAAGCCCCGATTTTGAAGATTTTATCTTCCAGCCTCTGTCTAATAGCCTGGGCTAAAATGTTTTCAGCGTCCAAGACTTACTACTGAATAATCGCACCTCCTTTTCTAGTTCTTTCTGAACTCTGGCTGGATGGTTCAACTCAGCTGTTCTGGATCCATACTCCTCTCCAAGATGACTTATTCAAACTGGCTTCTCTCAGCTTCTCACTGAATCACTCTGATTGGAAAAACTGGCCCTGAAGTGCTTGAACTGAGCTGTGCTCAGCTGAACTGCACTGAACAGCGCTATACTCCTGAACTCTACTGTACTGTCCCACAAACTCCCTTGCTCTCTCTGTGCTGTTCCTTTTATTTTAAATCTCCTTTGGGATTTTTATTATGTAAAACTATTTTTTGCATATAGACTTTATTCATTTATAATAAATATATATAGTAAGAACAGATTTTAATTCTATAAAACTATTTTTGCATATGGAATTTATTTATTTATAATAAATACATATAGTAAAAAGTTAGGAAACAATCAAGAAAGTCATATGCAAAAGTTATATTCAAAATGTTTAGCTCATTTGTATTTGGCAACTTTAAAGAAAATACTCTCCAACCTATCTAAAGTTTTATTCTTTATTTTTTTTCAGTTTCTTTTTTTTGCTTATTTTTTTTACACTTTATTCACTTTGTATCCCCCTATAAGCCCCTCCCTCCTCCCCTCCCAATCCCACCTCCCTCCCCCTTCTTCATGCATGCCCCTCCCCAAGTCCACTGACAGGGTCAGTAGTCCTCTCCTTCCTTCTGATCTTAGTCTACCAGATCACATCCGGAGTAACTGCATTGTCAACTTCTGTGGCCTGGTAAGACTGCTCTCCCCTCAGAGGGAGGTGATCAAAGAGCAGGACTATCAGATTGCGTCAGAGGCAGTCCCTCTTCCCATTACTATGTAACCCACTTAGACACTAAACTGTCATGGATTACATCTGCGCAGGGGTTCTAGGTTATCTCCATGCCTGGTACTTGGTTGGAGTATGGGTCTCTGGGAAGACCCCTGTGTTCAAATATTTTGGTTCTGTTGCTCTCCTTGTGGGGTTCCTGTCCTCTCCATAACCTACTATTTCCCACTTCTTACATAACATTCCATGCACTCTGCCCAACAGTTGGCCATAAAGTCTCAGCGTGTGCTTTGATATTCTGCAGGGCAGAGCCTTTCAGAGGCTCTCTGTGGCAGGTTCCTAGGTTGTTTCTTACTTTTTTCTTCTTCTGATGTCCATCCTCTTTGCCTTTCAGGATGGGGATTGAGCGTTTTAGTCAGAGTCCTCTCTCTTGATTAGTTTCTTTAGATGTACAGATTTTAGGTTTATCCTATAAGTCTATATGAGTGAGTATATATCATGTGTGTCTTTCTGCTTCTGAGACAGCTCACTCAGAATGATCCTTTCCAGGTCCCACCATTTATCTGCAAATTTCATGATTTCCTTATTTTTCATTGGAGGGTAATACTCCATTGTGTAGATGTACCACAATTTCTGCATCCATTCTTCAGTTGAGGGGCATCTGGGCTGTTTCAGCTTCTGGCTATTACAAATAAAGCTGCTACAAACATGGTTGAGCAAATGTCCTTTTTGTGTACTTGAGCCTCTTTTGGATATATGCCTAGGAGTGGTATGACTGGATCTTGAGGAAGCACTATTCCTAGTTGTCTGAGAAAGCGCCAGATTGATTTCCAGAGTAGTTGTACAAGTTTACATTCCCACCAGCAGTGGAGGAGAGTTCCCCTTTCTCAACAACCTCTCCAACATGTATTGTCACTTGAGTTTTTGATCTTGGCCATTCTCATGGGTGTAGGTGAAATCTCAGGGTTGTTTTGATTTGCATTTCCCTGATGGCTAATGAGGTTGAGCATTTCTTTAAGTGTTTCTCTGCCATTCGATATTCCTCTGTTGAGAATTCTCTGTTTAGCTGTTCCCCATTTTTTAATTGCATTACTTGGTTTGCTGCTTTTCAGCTTCTTTAGTTCTTTATATATGCTGAATATTAGCCCTCTGTCAGATAAAGGGTTAGTGAAGATTCTTTCCCAATCTGTAGGCAGTCGTTTTGTTTCAATGACGGTGTCCTTTGATTTACAGAAGCTTTTCAGTTTCATGAGGTCCCATTTATTGATTGTTGATCTTACAGCCTGTGCTGTTGGTGTTCTCTTTAGGAAGTTGTCCCCTGTGCCAATGAGTTCTAGGGTATTCCCACTTTTTTTTCTAGCCGATTTAATGTGTTTGGTTTTATGTTGAGGTCTTTAATCCACTTGGAATTCAGATTTGTGCAGGGTGATAAATATGGATCTATTTTCATTTTTCTACATGTAGACATCCAGTTGGACCAGCACCATTTGTTGAAGATGCTATCCTTTTTCCATTGTAAGGTTTTGGCATCTTTGTCAAAATTCAGGTGTCCATAAGTGTGTGGGTTTATTTCTGGGTCTTCTGTTTGGTTCCATTGATCCACCATTCTGTTTCTATGCCAGTACCATGCAGTTTTTGTAACTGTTGCTCTATAGTACAGCTTAAGATCAGGGATGGAGATACCTCCAGAAGATCTTTTATTGTAGAAGATTGTTTTAGCAATTCTGGGTTTCTTGTTATTCCATACGAAGTTGAGAATTTTTCTTTCCAGGTCTGTAAAGAATTGTGTTGGCAATTTGATGGGAATTGCATTAAATCTGTAGATTGCTTTTGGTAAGATGGCCATTTTTACTATGTTAATCCTGCCAAGCCATGAGCATGGGAGATCTTTCCAGCTTCTCATATCTTGTTCTAATTCTTTCTTCACAGACTGGAAATTTTTTTTATACAAGTCTTTGACTTGCTTGGTTAGGGTTACACCAAGGTACTTTATGTCATTTGTGGCTATTGTGAAGGGTGTTGTTTCCCTAATTTCTTTCTCAGCCCTTTTGTCTTTTGTATACAGGAGTGCTACTGATTTTTTTTGAGTTAATTTTGTATCTGCCCACTTTGCTGAAGGTATTTATCAGCTGTAGGCATTCCCTGGTAGAATTTTTGGGGTCGCTCACGTATACTATCATATCATCTGCAAATAGTGATAATTTGACTTCTTCCTTTCCAATCTGTATCCCCTTGATCTCCTTCAACTATCTTATTGCTCTAGCAAGGACTTCCAGCACTATGTTGAAGAGATGGAGAGAGTGGGCAGTCTTGTCTTGTCCCTGATTTCAGTGGAATTGCTTTAAGTTTCTTTCCGTTCAGTTTGATGTTGGCTATAGGCTTGCTGTATATCGCCTTTACTATATTTAGATATGTGCCTTGTATCCCTGATCTCTCCAATACTTTAAACATGAATGGATGTTGGATTTTGTCAAATGCTTTTTCAGCATCTAGGGAGATTATCATGTGGTTTTTTTCTTTCAGTTTGTTAATATGGTAGATCACATTGATGAATTTCTGTATATTGAACCACCCCTGCATACCTGGGATGAAGCCTACTTGGTCATAGTGGATAATATCTTTGATGTGCTCTTGTGTTCGGTTTTCAAGTATTTTGTTGAGTATTTTTGCATCAATGTTCCTAAGGGAGATTGGCCTGAAATTCTCTTTCTTTGTTGGGTCTTTGTGAGGTTTAGGTACTGTGACTTCATAGTAAGTGACTGTGACATAGTAAGTCACAAGGTGACTGTGACTTCATAGAATGAATTTGGTAATGCTCCTTCTGTTTCTATTTTGTGGGGATTAAAGGTGTATATTAAATTTAAGCCACAGGGATTAAAGCTGTATCATGTCTATTCCAGACAGAGGGATTAAGGGTATGCCTAGCCAGAGGAATTACATTTGTATACTAGAGGCATGTTGATATTCCAGCTAAACCACACATAGCTAGGTCTTTGGATGTGATCCCTTAACAGAACAGCCATGTTACTGGATTAAAATTACAGTGGACAGGTGAAAGATTGTAAGGCCTAAACCTTAAACAAGGAACTATAGGCAACTAAGAAATTCTGAGAGTGGAAAAACTGGTCTTTACCTAGGAAGAGCACACACAGTTGGTGATCCAATGCCAAGTGATTATCCAACACCTGAAAACATACACATAGGTAACGCATTATATAAACTGAGCAGGTTATGTTTAGGAATATATGTATATACTCATACAAACATGCATGTAACAGCAACTAATGCAAAGGAGACCATGAAATTGAAAGAGAAAGGGATATATGTGAGGGACTGGAGGGAGGAAAGAAGAGGAGGAAATGATGTATTTCCTCAGAAGTAAAAGAAACAATTTCAGAAGTAAAAGAAACAATTTTTTTAAACTCAAAAAAGAAAACGTTTAGTCCTTCATTTTGAATTGCAGAGGCAAATAACATGCTGAGCGCACATATCATATATGCCTATGCATAGATGCATACATGCAGAGTTAAAGCAACTATGATCTTATACAAAATGTCAAAGCCTTGTTCAGACTCAGTGCAGGAGTGCTAGACAACACACTCAGCGCAGTGTGGTCGGTAATCTTAGATCCACCTGCTTCTACTCATTTTATCTGCTCAGCAGTGTCTATGTTTAGCACCAAAGTTTGCTGTAAGTTAACATTTTTAGAAATGTCCAAATGAAACTGTTTCATTGGTGTAAAATATGATAGTAGTCACTGATGCCATTTTATCTTAAGGGGGTCTACATTGAATCTCACTTTAAGCAAAAGATTTCTTCTGAACTAATTACCCTATGTGTCCATGTATTTACGTCTGGATTCATTTCTTCCTGAATATTTGTTGTAGAAAGGGCCTTGTGAGATGAGTTTCGTGTGTCCAAGTTGGTAGAAAATTGGATTGGTTTTCATGCTGGAAACCAGCTGTGAACCAATAAAAATGGAAATATACACAGCACACAGAAAATGGGAACCCCAAAGACAAGGATAGGAGTGAAATTTTCTAAATACTTAACATCGAAATGTACTGTATTGGGTTTCATGGCTCGCAAGACTAAATACCAAATGTAGACTCACAATGTCAGAAATAAGGACCTTTATAATCTACTCAGCAAGTAGTAGAATTTCCAATATTGAGTCATTTAGAATACATTAATAAATATTATTAAAGGTGAGTATAAGATAGATCACATGCAAAAAAAATGAGTATCTTGTATTTTTTAACTATTACTTATAGACTTACTAAAAATGAAGTAAAGTAAGGGTATGTCTCAGGAATAATTAAGAACTGTATCCTGGAGTTACACTCACTGTCTGTAACAGCGATAGTTACTATTAAGGAGAAAGAGGAGCAGCAATGACACCACTTAACAACATCTCCATTTTCAATGTGTAGGTTTTATGGACCTTTGTAACTATTTTAAAATCTTTGAATATACGGATCTATTTTTAAACTATTAATACTGCTAAACAGAATTGTTAGAGATTTGATACTGGCCTTGCTAAGTTTCACAGGCTCGGAGAGATGCTTTTCTATCTAATTCATTGAGTAAATATTTATTTAAAATTTATTATATGTCAGCATTAGGCTAACATACACTTTCCAGTTCCAAAGTGCTTATTGTCACATGTGATAATTACAAAGTGATGAGACAGTGACTGTTCACATTTGTGCTTCTTTCACTCTAGGAACACCTAAGTCTTCAGTGCTTGGTCAAAAGCATTGGGACTTCACTTACCCATAGAGACTTAGAACAGATTGTATTTCTTACCATGTCTGGAAGCAGAGAAAGCCACAAACATCCTTGCTCTATTGAGTTCATCCACTGAGACACACAGAAATTAGAGTGCTTACCCTGTAGGGTTGTTTGAATGAGGCGTATTTTGCAGTTAAAGTAATTGTTCTGTAAGTGCCTGTCGCTGTTGATTGCAGAAGCAAAGCCAGCAGTGCTGTAGGCTACAGCGCCCTCTGAAGACTGTAGGGGATTTTACCTCGCTAAAGGAAAAAAAAGAAAGTATGTTAGATAAAAAGAATAGCGAATAAAAGAACTCTGAAAAAGTACTTTTTGACAAAAAGAATCTGTATTTTATATGAGACAATAATTTGGCCAAGGGTCAGAAAAAAAGGGTAAGAAATTGGGCAGGATTATAAAATTTAAGTTAGCTCACTCTGTCCACTCAGTGCCAACTGGGACTCCTGTTGGTCAGAGGAAGCACTGGTGCCTGGAGACATTGTCAAGCTTACACACAAACACAGACGTTCTTGGTGTGCGGAAAGCATGCTACCGAGTTTGTTTCATTAGGATTTAATAGCCTGCAGGCAAGGGGAAGTATTTCTTTTGAAATAATGAAAATCTGTTCAGTCTGAACATCAACATTTCCTTTCTTCTTTTTTCTTAAAAATGCTATCATTGCTGACAAGATGCAAAAAAAAAAAAAAAAAAAAATTCAAACAAGCTTACTTCTGTGTGATGGATGAGGCCGTATAGACGACACATGGATGTGTACCTATCGCTTGTACAGTTAATCTCTCAAAAAGTATATAATTTACGTTAAACGCACAAATCTGTGTGCCTTTAAAATCGACATCGTGAAGCCGCTAGACTTCTATCCATTTTCAGAATTGATTTGTCCCAATTGAAAGTGGCCAATCCTCACAAAGACACAGGAGTTAAAAATATTCAAGATAAAAGGACTCTTAGCCATGATGAAGAAGAAAACCAAAACTAGACCAAAACCCCTCTCAGGTGTGAGTTTATCATGGAAAAGACGAATGGCCACGTATTTGCAGGTGAATGAAGCAGGTACTCTTCATGTACAGATGTAGTCAGATTAAGCTTAACTTCCAGCTGTTTTACGTGAGTTCAGAGAAAGCATCCCAATTCCCTGGCAATTGTTTCATTTAAGACTACTTAAGGATCTATCTCAGGTTTAATGAGTTAAACATCTATATAGCAACTACCTTTTATGTGAGTTTTGACCAATCTTCTTTCATAATTTACATGAACAGAAAATTTGGAAACCAAAACTTTGAAATCTTCAGTTCCTAAAAATTAATTGTTTCAAGTTCAAATGGTGAAGTAAGTGAGAGAAGTGATAGGATAAGAGATACAATTCTTGTCCTTAACAAGCTGGCAGGAGTGGGAAGATGAAAACCTGGGAGATGAGATGAGAAATAGTATTGATTCCCAGGTATAAACAAGACATGTGCTGAGTTCATCTGATGTGAACCACATCTGGACAACATCACGATAACCTTGAAAAACATTTTTAATTGAGTCTAGTTGCACTAAAGGAGAGAAAAGTAATCCATTAAGGTGGACGAATTGAGAAGAGGAGGATGAAAGCAATCTGAAAAAAGTTCGCTCACCCCTCGGCCACCAAAGTTGTAAGAAATGTGCATCCCCAGGACTCTCTCCCTGGAGAAGGAGAGAGCTTATCACAGCAAGCTTTTAGAATGCTATTGCTATTTCACTGAGCAGGAAGGAATTGGTGAAAACTCATACAAGGAGAGAGCACTAAAAACTGTAGGAAAATGAGCCCAACCAAGTTTTCTGATTTCTAATTTGAGCCCCAAATGCAGTAAGAGTTGCATGGCTCACTATAACCCATTTGGAAAGGTTTGTGGGTCTCGTATTCTCCACAAAGGGCAAGTGAAAGACATTTCTGTTTCGGGGTATTCACCAGAGATGACTGCTCAGATACGGGCTTAAGCTATTGGAAAATCATTATTAGCCATGAAGCAACTACGCTGGGTGTTCGGGATCCCACTGTAGCTCAGACCCTTTCTCAGGGTGAGGTTTGAAGCACAAAAGTTGACATACTGCAGTTAACAAGAACAGTTAGCCAGAAGCAGAACTACAGAAGCTGAAAAGCAAGGGTAATACATTCAGAGACTTTCCTAGAACTATCAACTTTGATAGACCAGGTCTTTGATTTCTTGTGTGTGTGTGTGTGTGTGTGTGTGTGTGTGTGTGTGTGTGTGTATAGGTGGTACTGTCTATGTGCTGAGTTCTACAGCCTGAATGGCACTTCAATCATGGAGTCAGTTGTGCTAAGTTCTGGGGGCCTATTATACCTTCCATTGTCCTTCCATATCATCACATGTTTAAACTGGCTACCTACATGGGCTACCAGTGTCATCACACTTACCAGTACTGTAGTATCTGTGTGCTCCATAAAGCCTCTCCCACTGTACCAAAACCTTCTTAAAGAAAATAACTTGGGGGATGGGTGTCCAAAAGTCCAACATACATCTCTCTGCCTTCAGCTCCCTATAACATGCTCCTGAAAGCACAGCCAGGAGAGTATTCAGAGGACAACAGCAAGCCTTACTTTTTCTCTGCTCAAAAACATTTAATGATCTCATTTTATTCACGTTTTGACACAACATGCACAGTCCAAATAATCTGCTCGTTCATTAGTCATCAAGCCACAATGATACCTCTTCAACCTGCCATTGTTATCTTTTCTCCCACCATGAGTGGCCGGATTTCCTAAAGGTAACAAGCAGGAAATCAGCATCAACACCTGGCAGAAAACTAGGTAAGCTGTTGTCAGACCTTCGCTTCTCTTTCTCTGTTTCTTTAAATCAAATCCTTTAGCCTCATCTCTAGTGATGCAAGAGATCACCATCTACAGCCTCCTTTCTCCCATGTTCACCTCTCCTGTGGATCCCACAGACCATCCTTCCTAATCTCTCTCCTCCTTCCTTCCTTCTTTCTTTCCCTTCCTTCCTTCCTTCCTTCCTTCCTTCCTTCCTTCCTTCCTCCCTCCCTCCCTTCCTTCTTTCGTTCCTTCCATGTGTTATTGAGCTAGTCAAAACTTAAAGAATTATATTGAATTGGAATGCAGAGAATGGGCACGCTTGCCTTCTTACTGCTCTTAGATCGCCTTTTACTTGATGGGCAGTAAAATTATTACATTCACTTTTGAGTTTCAAATTTTCTGTGAACTTCTACATGTCTAAATGTATATACAAATTCACAATTATATAAAAATGAAAACTTCATGTTGTCAAACTGTCTTCTAAATATTTATATTTGTATCCATAAATTGGTACTGCTCTTAATATTGTTCACAGATGTGTTTTGTTGCAAAGGTTAATGCAGAGACCCCTTACTGTTTAAAGGGCTGTGAGTGCCAACCCATAGATAAAACATCTATACCAACATCTCCCACCAAGGTTCAGGAAAGGAATAGAAGAATCAGACGGTAGACAGGAACACTGTGAAATGATGTCCTCTGAATATGACATGGCTGATTCTGAATATGACAAACCTGTTTCAACATAAGCCATCTCATGCCTACTTAGATTTAATAGAATATCAATTATGTTAACTGATAACAACTTTTGTGGCATAGCTGCTAAAGGTCAATCATTAATAACTATTGATCTTCAAGTAAATGTGGCACAATATGCTTAAAAAAAAACTAAAGGCAAACATTACAATTCCATTTGAAGTTCTTTATACATTTTGTATTTATATTTATTTACCAGAACGTTTTCAGTAGTGAGGTATTAAATGGATATTTTTTAATTATTAAAAAAAAAAGGTAACAAGCAGGCTTGTCAGTCAGGGCTTAGCAGCAGCCTTTCATGATGCTTTCTCTGGATCCAGCTGTGGTTTACTCTCCCCTTTCCTTTATTTCTGGCTGCTTCTCATGAGGACTTCTCAGTGCAGTCTTTTTTATCTACATCACTTAAAATGACAGTCTATCCCATAACTGACTCCTCTCTCTGTTATTTCTCTTCCATAGCAAGTTACTGTCTGGCCACCACAGTTTGCATATCTGCAGAAACCTCCCTTTGGTGGCGGCAGTTCCTGATCCTCTCTCCTTACTGAAATCTCCCAGGTTTGACTACACACCACCTCGCCTACTACATTTGGTACTGATGTTTGCTTACTGGAAACTCAAGCAACAACATTTTTACTATTATACTTTGTTTTCCTTTTTGTTGTTGTTATTTCCTTGCCAATAAATCTATATAATCCCTGAAGCAAGAGTTCTTTTTTATTGTTTGTTTAGTTGTTTTTTAAAGCAGTGTCTCATGGTATAAACTTTTGTAGGTCTCTCATAGTTCCAAAGACAAAATATATTTTTATTTCAATAAATAGTTTAGGAAGTGAACAATAGCAGTAATTACCCCTAGAAGAATGGCTAACAAGTGCCATGGCAAGGCACCTGTAGATAGCATGACATTATCAACATTCTGCAGCGTAGCACACACAGTCTAAGATGGAGAATAAGAATAAAGCAGAGCCTATTAATTCCACAGTTCACAATCGATTCCTCTACCACTGTCCCAAATTAATCACTTCTGTTCATTAAGTACCACTGTATGCCTGGGTATGCCAAGCACTTCACAGGTTAGCTCATGCTCAGAAAAACGCTGTTGGCAAGTAGGATCAGTTTTGCTTTCTGAGTGAGAAAACCACACCTCTGAGTGTTCTATGTCTCGACTAAGGACTCACACTCACGGTGAAAGCAGTGACTGCTCAGCTCAGCTACACAACTGCACGCACTATGCGTGCTGTCTGGCAGCTCAACACCTATCTAAAGAATGTGTTAGGCGCTGAGGTCTCTGAGCTTTGTCAGGTGCCATACAGTCCTTTCTCGGTGATCGCATAGCCATAAAAGCTGCTTGGTTTAAAGTCAATGCCTCTCTTTTTGCCTCCTTTAAAGGACTAGTATTAAACTTCAACACTGGGTGAAACAGCTGACAGGTGACAGCAATGAAATTCTCATTTTTACAGGGTTCATTTTATCCTAGCATGTGTTTTCTTCCCTCATTTGCATATTTGTGTGTGAAAGAGACAAACACAAAGCTTATGGAAAAGAAGAAGGCTAAAGACTCCTCCTCTATGCCTTACCTATAGATTTTTTTTAAATAAGGCAGCTACACAGTACAAACCTTTGCTCAATGAGTGTCCCCAAGAGGAATGACTAACCTCACTGAAGCTTTCTAAAGCCTGCTTTTCAAAATAATCTTTT